CTGAGACCAAGGACTGTTTCTTGTCCATTTTATAGTCCCGATACCTTGTATGGTGCTTGCCCGTTCAAAAGAGCACAGTAAATATTTGTTGCATGGATGAATGGATGCTACTTCTCTGTTGTTTTTCATTCCAAAAACTGATGTGGTATGATTGGCTCTTTCTCCTTTGAGGATCAATTCTGCCTGGAAACTAATTTAACTATAAAGAAAGGTAGGAGTCTTCCTTGACTGCAGCTACAAGCTAGCATAAAGTTTTCAGTGTGACCCACAGTGTAAAATTACATAAACCTAGCACTGAGTTTCGGCATAAACCGATTCCTTATTAGACTGACTGAATAATTGAATCTCCTTGTTTGGCATTTGTTTAAAGACAGAAGGTCATGGGACAAATGGTGGGTATTTGAGGCTGTGGAAACATATGTTATAAATTTGGTTTAGCTGTTTCTGGTAACTGGGATTATTGTGACTGAAGACCCAGGCCTCCCAAGTCTGCCCTCCACCCTTGGGAATGCACAACAACATGCCCTCCAAAACCAGAGGCAGGAAGAAAACGTCCATGGGCACATCTCACGGATGGACTGCACTCATGCCCAGTTAAGGACAGCAAACAGTGGACTGAGAAACTTGCTCTGGAGAATTAGATCCAGGCCCCAGCCAGCTGGATGTTTTCATAACAGGCCTGTGAGGTGTGCTGAGAAAGCATTTGGTAGTTCTTTTTTTTTTTTTTTTTAAAGATTTTATTTATTCATTTGAGACACAGAGATACAGAGAGAGAGAGAGAGAGAGCCTGAGCAGGGAGAGAGGCAGAAGGAGAAGCAGGCTCCTCGCTGAGCCAGAAGCCCAATGTGGGGCTCGATCCCAGGACTCTGGGATCATGACCTGAGCCGAAGGCAGCCGCTTAACCATCTGAGCCACCCAGGCACCCCCATTTGGTAGTTCTTGACTCCACTTACAAACTAAATCTTCAGATACCTTTGTTTTCATTAATCACCCATAGTGAGTCTCTCCTAAGTGACTAAGCTTTTCTGGGAAGTGATTTAAATTCTATAAAGAGGCCCTGTGGAGTGGTGGGAGGATCACTGAACCTGTGTTAAAAAGACTTAAAAAAATTCCATTCTCAGTTTCCTCATCTGTAAAATGGGTTTAATGATATCTACATATCTTACTTCATAAGATAGCTCATGAGGTCAAAGGAGATTAAGTCAGTGAAAATAGTTTGACTAAAATGCAGAATGAATATAAGATAATGTATTATTTCCTACCTCTATTCATTTACCTGATTCTTCTCATCCTATAGCAAAACTTACCTAAGCTTGCCTTCTGCTTTAGGACTTCCTTTCATTTATCCTAGTATTTTCCTCATCATAGGAAGGGAATAAGCATTTGCTGTGTGTTCTGTATGTGCATTCTCTTCATAATGGTACCTATGACCCAGGTACCGTTATCTGAATTGTACATACAAATGCTAGTTCATAGTAGTTCATGTCCCAGGTCATGCAGCTAGACCTTAAGTTTAAACTCAGGTGTCCCTATCTCATTGCCCACATGAAATTTCTATCACATCATACTACCTTCCAAGTTTTAAGGAGTTTCCCTCCTTTGTTTCTTTTGTATCTTTGATTTTGTATACAAGTTCACCTTGGGCTTCATTATAACATGATGATTTTCTTTAAAGATTTATTTATTTTAGAGAGAGACAGAGAGAGTGAGAGCATGGGGGGTGGGGAGGGGCAGAGGAAGAGGGAGAGAGAAACTCAAGCAGACTCCTCACTGAGTGTGGAGCCTGACACGGGACAGGATCCCATGACCCTGAGATCAGACCTGAGCCGAAATCAAGAGTCAGATGCTCAACTGACTGTGCCACCCAGGCACCCACAACATTATGATTTTTAAAATTTTGATCATATTTCCTCACCTTTTGTCACTCCAGACTGAGATGTCCACCTTATTCTGGCAGTCTTCTCCATTTCCTGGATCTTTGTACTTGCTTTTATTTGGACATTTCTTGAGCTATAACAGCTAAAGTTGCATGCAATGTTGCAGGTGCAGGCCCTCCAGGGCTGGGTACCAGGGCAGGATAATGTTTCCAGATGTATTTCCAATATTGACCACGACACCCAGGTTATCATTAGCTGTTTGGGCTGGAGTGGGGCAATTCCGGTGGAACATCTCCCAGCTATAGCCAGAAACCGTGTGGCCAGCTGTCAGGGAACATGGTGTCCTGAGGTCTCTAAAACTTTTTTTCACTTATTTATTCAACAAGTATTGAAAAAGCACCAACCCTCTGCCAATTTCTGTTCTAGTTGCTGTGGGTAGGGTAGAGTATAAAACACCCCAAGTTCCTGTTTCCATGGAGTATATGGAGTAGTGTGGACAAACACTTGACAGATACAAAAATGTATAATATGTCAGAGATTATTACAATAGCTGTCTAACTGGCCTCCCTGTCTCCAACGAGGCAGTAAATGCTATGTAGAAAAATAACGTTGGGTGAGAGAAATAGAGAAAGGTTGGGCAGAGGATTTGCTTCTCTGTGTAGGATGGTCAGGGACATCTGTGATAAGGTGAGATCTGAGCAGAAACTTGAAGTAAAGGTTATCTCAGAGAAGAACATTCCAGGCAGTAGAGAACAGTGAGCGCACCCATCATGGGGAAGCTCCTTAGCACATGTGAGGTGTGCCAGTATAGTTGAAACTACGTGAGAGTAGAGGGGTCTAGGGAGATGAGGTAAGAGATAAGGTCAGAGCTTCAAGGTTCAGGAAGGGCAGATCATGCATGGTCTTGTAAGTCACAGTGAAGGACTTTGGGTTTTCCTCTGCCAGGGAGGAAGGCATGGGAGTATTATGAACGAAGAACTGGCCTGATCAGGCTTAACATTTTAAGAAACTCACTCTGACTGGTCTGTGGAGAATACACTGTGGGAAAGGAATGGTGGAGGCAAGGAGGCCAGTTAGACAGCTCTTTTAATAATCCAGGTGAGAGATGATGGTGGCTTGGATGGTGGCTCAGGGCAAAAGGTGGAGTTAAGGGCAAAATATCATTTGATCCTGGATATGGACTGGATATGAGAGAAAGAGAAGAGTCAATGGTGACTCCAAGGTTTTCAGCTTGAGCAATTGCAAGAATTGGATGAATGGAGTTGCCTTTTATTGAGCTGAGGAATAGTGCAGAAGGCATGGTGTGTGTGTGTATGTGTGTGTGTGTGTGCATGTTTGCATGTGGTGGCAGAGAATTTGGAGTTCTATTTTGTGTATTTGAAGTCTGAGATACTTCCAAGCAAGGACTGCAAGTAGACAGCTAGATATGAGTGTGATGTGTTCACAGGAGAGGTTAGGGCTGGAGTTATAAGTTTGGGATCTTAAAAGCCCTGGGGCTGAATGAGCTCACCTGGGTAGATCGATAAATCGATAAGAAAGAGGGCAGAGCTCTGAACCCTGGAGCACTCTAACATACCATTTAGAGCTTGAGAGATAGTTGGAACCAGTAACTCAGTCACTTGTAAGTTGCTTTGTTGGCTCTGAGGCAGCAGCTACTGTAAATACTGGGTTTGCCTATTAGAGATCTGCTCCCAAAGTGGGAGACCACCAGGGATATTTGTGCTTGTGCGTGTGGCCACTACACAGAATCACTGAGGAAAAGCACACAAAAAAGGCTCCTGGCTTATCATTAAAAAACCTGCAGGAGACTCCCAGGATGGAAAATTAGGTTGAATTAGTTTAGATTTGGAAAATTTGAGGAGAAAGCAAAGAAATCATATAGTCCTGATAATATAAACATATCTGTAATATGACAGAAACAAGAAACTCTTGATACCATGGATATACAAATCATTAGCATGTGCATTTGTAAATTCACAAGATTAAACATATCAAACTGCATATTAACAAAATCATCTCTACAATACATATAAATAAAGTTTGGGTTTTGGAACTCTTTTTTTTTTTTCTCCCTTCTCTGATTGCAATTGGTGTTTAGGTTTTAGGTCACCCCATAGAAAACTTGTTTAACCCATGATGTATCTCAGGCATGGATCTAACTGTTCAATTTTCAATTTTCAACCATGTTGTTAAAAGTTTTCAGTTGCAATTCTGGATAGCAACAACTACCTTATCTGATAGACAACCAAAGCCATGTGTTCAAAAGGGATGAGATATTAATCGATCTTCAAAAAACATATTCTCCTTTTATTTCTCCCTACACCTCCCCTGCCTCCAAACCTGCTACTTCCCTATTCCTAATTTGGCCAGCTAGAGGTAGGGGAAAGGGAAGTGGAGCCAGAGAACAATGATATTAAATTCTTGGTTAAGTTTGGAAAGTCTTGATCTTTGTCTAAGATAGAGAGATTTAAAAGAATAGTAGTAGAGATAAGGGTTCTCTAGACTGGGTCATAGACTCAGAGCAGGAATTGGACAGGAAATGGGAGGTGGGGACAGTAATGGGGCTACTGAGAAGGGACCCTACCTTGCACCTCTACCCCATTATTTCCAAAGCCATGAGTGGGGTAAAATGTAGGCACTTCTCCAAACATCATATACGCAAGCCCCATCCTCTAAGTCTCAGAAGGATCTCATTGCTTCCTCTGGTTCAGTTTCAGGGGAGGGGCTCTGGGACAGGTCTGTCACCTGTGAGACCACCAGGAATGTCCAGTTGGGCCATGGTGGTAGGGAGTGGGGGCCTTGGTGGAAGAAACACAGTGGCTTTGATCCTTCTTCTCTGTGGGGCGGTGTCTTTAGGACAAATGCTCTTCTCTTCCCTTTCATGTGGCAGAGTAGCGGGGTGGGCTAAGGCTGCCCCTGTTTTGGAGGGGCACCTGCCCTTGGCTTGCCTAGTGGGATCAGTTTGGCCTCTTTTTGGATGTCTTCATCTTCATCCTTTCATACATTTTTCTTGAGGAGCCTTTTTTGTGCCCACAAATGTAGATTTAAGATCTGCTTCTTTGTACTCCAACGCTACAATGCTTACAGCATTGGCCTTACTGCACTCCCTACTTGTCTTCCCTACCAGATTGGGAGCCTTTAGGAAAACAAAGACCAAGTTACAACCATATTTATAATCCCTGAGACCCAGGATGGTGCCTGGGTCATGGTCAACAAGCAGTCAGATTTATTACATTACAAAGGAAAACAAACACATTTACATGCCCATTTCTATGCCCTAAGTGTTTTGTTACCTGGGGTGAGTAACTGAGTAGGCAGAAGAGAGTGACTTGACCGAAGCAATAAGACACTTTCTGTCGGACAGATGTTCTGTAACAATGACTGTAATCACCGACAGCATGTTTTCTCATCTTCACTCTATTCCCTGCTCTTCAGAGAACAGATTGAGGTCGATTTTCTCTGGAAAGCCTCTGCTGATGATCCATCCTACAATCTGCCAGTCTCCTTCTTCCTAAGATGTTTCCTGTTATCAATTTGTAGCCATAAATACACGTTTCTAGATTTTATAGTCAGTCTCGCTTCTCGCCACATCATGTTCTTAGAAATCCCATCTTCCATAAAATGGAATATTTTCTCCTCTGGTGCCAATGTTGTAATTGAGGGCTGACCAAGGACTCAGTGTCACAGAAAATACAGTCATGATCGATAACCTGTCAAAAAGACAAAGCTACAGCTGCAATCCTCTAAAATAATTTAACATAGTAGAATCATGCCTGAGTCCCATAAAAGATCGTAAACACACATTGATTATGCAAGGATGCCTGGAATTATGTAAAATCATAAAATTCAACCCTACCCTATCATAAATTTTTTTCCTAAAATTAATATACACATTCAAATGACTATTTTCAACACATTCATGAACAACCATTTGATCCACTTTTACATTATAAGTGGAATCGTGGAAGATTATTTTGGTAGTTTAGACCTCTTGTCAGCGTCAGTCCAAGCAGGTTGGAAGTTATGCACCTCTTGCTGTAGGGTGTTCTCTCCAAACAGGGCTTCCAAGTCATTCAATTGATTCTGTCATTGCACCCAAATTAGTAGGCTCAAGAAATGTTTCCTGTAGTTTATGACAATAGTGGTGTTTCTTTCCTCCTCTGAAAAGCTGACCCAATCTCTCTAACCTTACTCTTCTCCTTTCCTTGTTTTAATTAATTAATTAATTAATTAATTTTTAAAAAAGATTTTATTTATTTATTTGAGAGAGAGAATGAGAGAGAGAGAGCATGAGAGGGGGAGGGTCAGAGGGAGAAGCACACTCCCCGCCGAGCAGAGAGCCCGATGCGGGACTCGATCCTGGGACTCCAGGATCATGACCTGAGCCGAAGGCAGTCGCTTAACCAACTGAGCCACCCAGGCACCCTCCTTGTTTTAATTTAAAGCTAAAGGCAGAGTTACTTGGTAGAGGACCAAAGCAGAGCTAGGGAGAGCCACGAAATGGCCTTAAATCACTCAAGCTCTACTTCCTTCTGTGAATGATTCCTCCTCGATTAAATTTTTATGGTAAAAGCAATAAAACAACTGCTGATTGTGAGCAACCCCCCCCCCAAAAAAAGGAGGTTCAAAACATCTGTGACATGACTGCTAAGAGGTCTGGCTGTCCTTGCTTAAAATTCAATTAAACAATTCAGTTCACATTTATTGAAGGCCCACTATGTGCCAGACCTGATGTGTGCTCAGGAGATGCTGAGACAAAGGTGATAGATGGCCTTCTGGGAGCCTGGGGGAGGTGTGGGTGTTAGGAAAGCAGCTTTTAAGGGGCACCAGGGTGGCTTAGCCGGTTAAGTGACCGACTCTTGGTTTTGGCTCAGGTCATGATCTCAGGGTCGTGAGATAGAGCCCCATGTCAGCTGTGCACTCAGTGCAGAGTCTGCTTCAGTTTCTCTCTCCCTCTCCCTCTGCCCCTGCCCCCCTACCCCCTGCTCTCAAATAAATAAATCTTAAAAAAAAAAAAAGAATAAAGAGAAAGAAAGCAGCCTTTAAGCCTAGTCCTGGGAACTTCCTATAGGGCAGTAGCAGGACTCTCTCTGGGATATTTTGGCCATGTGATTTGTGGGGTTTGTGATTGATACTGATCTACAATCATGCCTGGTAAGAGGAAGGACATTCAGAAACTGTTTAATAAGAAGCTTCTGTGTTTTCTAAGTTTTTTTTTTTTTTTTTTAAGAGAGGAAGTGGGGAGGGGCAGAGGGAGAGAGATAATCTCAAGCAGGCTCCATGCCCACCATGGAGCCCCACTCGGGGCTTGGTCCCACAGTCTTGAGATCATGACCTGAGTCGAAATCAAGAATCCAAAGCTTAACTGACTGAGCCACCCAGGTGCCCCACTTCTGTGTTTTCTAGTGAGATTTGAGTATTGAAGTTTACTTCATGTTTAATTAAGAAAAATCTCATAATCCCATTGAAAACAAATAGCATTATCATAATGTTTGGCAAAGGCTGACATTATAGGCAATAGGGAACCCAATTAAGGAAATACAAGGGTGAGACAGTGATGTTGAGGAAATAATCCTCTTAGCCTTGAAGCTGTGGAACATATCAAGTAATCGTTCAAAGAGGAACCAAACTGAATGGCCTAGTCTGAATTTATATTGTTTAGCTATTATTTGTCTCAGAATTTTTATGAGTTTTTTCAGTAGACAGCAAGTTCCACAGTTCCATGAAAATAATACATGTTCATGTGCATGGTAGTGTCTGGGAGAAACAAGTAGCAACAGGGATAAGATTATTTCCAAATGTTCTATCAAAAGCAAGACCTGCAAGTAAAGACTTAGTGAGTGCAATTCAGAGGTTGACAATTAGGCCTAATTTTGTGTGTCTGGAAAGTTGTTGCTGCGTGGGACACTTATTCACCTTTTGACTTATAAATAATTCTCAAGTGGCCTCTGATAAGGATGAATGCCATCAGAAACAAGACCCCAGAGGTTTTCTTTTTCTCAGGGGTTACATAGTCCTGTATTTGGAAGCATTACTCTGAGCTTGTTTATATATTTTGCATAGAATGCATTTCTAAAAATAGATTATGACCTCAGTGGAAAATTAAGTGAAACCATGAGTTGTCTCTATAAGCATAATGCTCTAGAAGTAAAAATATGTGCAATAATACAGAGGGAGGCCTGAGAGCTACCACCCTCAAGTCTCCATAGTCAAGAGAGATGCCTTCAACAGGACCATTCAAGAGAAACACAGAAGTGCCATGGGGTTTGAGGGCAAAGGGATAGGCAGTGGTCCTGTGCCTGAGCATACTGAAGGTAAGGGACTGGGGCTAGAGCCACCTGCCTGCTGGCAGAACAGAGAGAAACATTCTTCATGGGAATACACTGCACTTTCACTCACGATGACTGGCAAGAGTGTGTAAAAGTGTCTCATCGACTGGACCGGGGACACACCAGAGCAAAATAGCCTGGAGCCTTTTCTGAATTCTGCCCAAGATGATAAGTGGAAGAGAGCAGTTACTCTAGTAGAGGTGCGACTCAGGGTGGCTGAAGGCAGAGAGAGGGAGATCAGAAGCTAGAAGAGAGGCGTGGCCTGTGTCAATTGGGCTGCTCAGAAGGCTCCAGGGGGGGTATCTTGTGATCCAACCCCAGAGCCCCATCATAGGAAGTCAGCCCTAAAACCCTTCAAGGCCACAGAACACAGCTGCCGGATCACAAGAGGACTGGATAGCTAAGTTACCTCCTGTTTATCCCTCTCTTTCTCCCTCCATCCCCGGAGGAATGAGAGGCAGTATTGGGAAGACGCAGAAGAGGAGGAACAGCACGAGGCAGAGAGACAGGCTCACCATGCCCCTTCCTCCCCACTACTGGTTCTCCAGCCAGGGAGCTGAGGAGCTTTAACTTTGAATGAGCTTCAGATTATTGAATTAAAATCAAGACTGTTTTTGTGACTAACAGAGACAGAGGGACTTTGCACTAAGAGTGTTCAAAAGGGTTTATGGAATCTGCCCAAGATTTCATCTACTTTCCATGTAGGGAAGACACAGGCCTCGGGACAGAGTCAGAGAACTGGCTGAGAGAAATAACAGAATCCTTTCTCTAACCCCAGTTTGGAGACCTACGTGTTCAATGTACCAGTTATACTTGTTTATTGATTTCTTGCCCTCTTTATACTGAGAGCTTCTTGGGATAGAGACCATATGTTATATTCATCTTTACAAATCTTGATGAATCAGTATTGGACACACAGCAAATGCTTGTTGAATGAATAAATGAACAGATCAATTGATAAACGGGGGGTCATTTAGTGTAGTGATTCAGGGTCCAAACTTGGGCTTTGACATTGATTAGTTGTGAGTTCTTCAGCCAGTTACTTAATCTTATTAAAACTTAACCAGTTATATAACCTTTACTTGCCTTTTAGTTTAATTTTATTTTTTAGGGGGAGAGGGGTAGAAGGAGAGAGAATCTTAAACAAGCCCCACACCTAGTGTGCAGAGCCTGACCTGGGGCTTGATCTCACCACCCTGAGATCATGACCTGAGTTGGAATGAAGGGTCAGACGCTTAACAGACTGAGCCACCCAGGCGCCCCTTAAAGTATTTTAAAGAACAAAATAGTATTTACCTCATAGGATTTATTTGAGGATCAGAGGCGATATCAAGCACGTATAATGCTTAGCCCAGTGGTTGGTATATAGTCACTGTTCAGCAAATGGGAGCTACAATGACACCATTACTGTTGCTGCAGTTAGGGATGGAGTTGCGTGGTTAGTGTGCAAAGACCACTCCTCCACTCCCGCTGGGCCTGGTGTCCTTGATTTTTTTAAAAAGATGTATTTATTTTAGAGAGAGAGAGGGCAGGGGCGGGAGGGGCAAGGGGAGAGGGAGCGAGAATCTCAAGCTGACTCTGCGCTGAGTGCAGAGATCCACTCGGGGCTGGATTTCATGACCCTGAGATCAGACCTGAGCTGAAATCAAGAGTTCTATGCTCCATCGACTGCACCACTCAGGTGCCTCAAGTGTCCTTGATTTTGATGGTATGTCCTTGACTCCAGCTGGGCCTGATGACTTTCATGCCCGAGTCTCTCTGTTTTACCTCCTCAAGGAGGAGGCTTGGTTTTCTGCTAGGTTGGGGAGGGGCAGCTCTGCTGCTCCAATGGGTGGAGGAGTCCTGGCTGGTGGACTTAGTGTTTTTTTTTAAATAACTGAAGTATAGTTGACGCACAGAGTTGCATTAGTTTCAGGTGTGTAACGCAGTGATTCAACAACTCTGTCTGCTGGCCTCACCGCCCGTGTAGCCACCACCTGTCCCCATGCCATGCTCTTACAGGACTACCCACTGTATGCCCATGCTGTGCCTTTCACTCCCAGGAGAAAGTGCTTTTACATGGACACTCAGTCAAGACTCCAGTTTTCAGCCTCCCCCCGGAACCGAACCTCCACTTTCAGAGGCATGTGCAACTTCTCCTTCCTAAGTCTTTCTGGGATTCCGTAGCCCAGACCAGCAAAGCTGTTCCAGTTCCTTGGCTTTGCGAAGTCAGTTACCACTGACTTTCCAGTTTCCCATGTTTTGTTGCTTTTTGCTTCTTCTTTGTCCTTGTGATTTATGCCTTAAATAAAATCCTTTTACCATCACATGGGCAGAGAGGGCAAGGGAGATTGGGAAAAATCTATAATAAATACGAGTGTTCAATAAGCCAGGTATTATTA